AGGGAACCAGCAATGGTCACTCACCTTTTAAAACCCCTTTAAACAGCAGTAGAAAATTGTACATTCACATATTAAACATTTTATTTTAACTTAAAAATGTGTAGATATCCCATATCAATCTTGAGTGCAGGGCCAGGTAGTCTGTTCAGTGGAGCTTCGCAGGATTATTCTTCCATTAGCAACAGCTAAAATGCAGCCTTTACAATTCCTTTCTTTATGACTTCAAAGATTTTCACGTGCTTGCAAGATCTAGCTGATACTTGTCAGACTACCAGGATCTTTCCTGCTAACCTTCTATAGTTTTGTCATTTCATTTGGCAGAAATCATTGTTCTACTTCTCATTTAAAAACATTTAATTTAGCTTTCTCTGAGATAACTTTTTGACTTTGCATTCATTTATCTATTTATTTAGTATTTTAGGACAGGGTGTACAGGGTGTACAGGGTCTCACTGCACAGATCAGACTCATAGTGATCCTCCTGTTTACAGCCTCCCAAGTGCTGGGATTACAGGTGTGTGCCATCACACCCACTCTCAATGGCTGTCTCAGCGCACTCCGGGGGTGGGGCTGGGGCCCGCATGGCAGGCCCAAGGATCGAACTCCTGGCCCCTACCTTTGCCTAAGCAGACACTTTAATCCGCTGAGCTATTTGGCTGGCCCTGCTTTTATTATTATTAGTTTTAATCTTTATTTATTTATTTGGTAAAGGGTCTTGCTATGTAGATTGGACTTACAGGTTGTACTCGTAGTGATCCCCTTGTCTCAGTCTCCCCAGCTGGGATTACAAGCATGTGCCACCACATCTGGTTTCCAGGGCTGGCTTGGTGTGGGGCTGCCATGGCATGTGGTACTGGAGATTGAACCTGGGCCCTTGTGCTTGCCAGGCAGGCACCTAAAAGACTGCTGAACTATCTCTCCAGCCTGCTTGTATTTCTTAAATGTACATATTATCCATAAATTCTAAAACTCTGATGATAATTATAATTGCCATAAACAGCCTGTGCATAAACATATTTGAATTTGTTAAGCAGATAATTCAGGTAGCAAGGGTGATACTGTACATGCCTCTACGAGGTAGTGGGCTGCTGTAAGCACTTAGACCTTAGTCTACATGCTCTGCGGAAGGATGGCATGGATTAGTCAGTTTATTCATTAAGGGAAGATTTACTATAAACATGATACAGTAATAGTAACTAATATTTCTTGAATGCTTAGCTTGTGTCATAACCTAGATACAACATATAATCGAGGTTTCCAGAGATTAGATTACCCAGGGTCCTATAACTTTGTGTTTGGACATGTAATTTAAAGCCAGGCTCATCTCATCTCAGAACCCAGGATCGAAAGCCTAACCTTGAGAGCAGGTCATGCTGTCCTTTGCTGCAGAGGTCCCTTGGCCTGACATTGATCTATGGGCCCTGGTCGAGGGCAGGGACTCAACGAAGCAAGTAATCACCGTAACAAATAACTTGCATGTGTGTCCTGGATCAGCGAACAGCTCTATCAGCCTCTGTAGAACATGAAGAAGCATCGTGTAATTAATACATTTAATGTCTTAAGTAAATGACCAGATTGGGTGTTTGGAAGCAGCCTTTCCTAAGACTATTATTTGAGTTGGATCCCAGGCATCTAGGAGACAAATAAATGCACTCACTTGTGGACACTATCCAGGGATCTCAAAATGAGGCATTTGTCTTGCTGTCTCCTTTGAAGGGTTTTTTCTTTGGTATGATGAATAAGGCTTCCTGGCAAGGCTGCTTGACATACGCCTTGGGGCAAAGTCCTTTTAGCTCAAAGAAAAAAACAAATTGGCTTCAGGAAAAAGAAAAGAAAAAGAAAAAGAAAACCCCAAAACAAAAACCCCTGCTGTCAACCTTTTAATCTTTCCATTTCCTCTGTTTTTCTTTTTCATGGCTAAGGTATCAGCATACTTCAGTGTTCAGAGACCCATTGTTCATTTCTAGAAGAGCAGTAGTTGATTCATGCATGCATTTTGTATTTTACAATAAAATAGCTCAGCACCTATGGGGTCCATCACTGAGAACACCATCCACTGCCACCTGCATGTCCACTAAATCTTCCTCCCACAAGAAATCTGGTTGTAACTTGCCTAGATGCCATTTGGTCATAAAATAATTTTTTCCAAGAAAGTCTCCATTGTGTGAGAGTGCACTTACAACAATTCACACCTGTTTTCTTATCTTTGCAAGTGAGGAATGGCATTTATTTTATTTGATATATAATCATTTCCAAAGGTGTCATTCTATTTACTTGATGGTTACAGATATTCTTGAGCCCACTTTGAAATATATCTCACTTGAAATTTTTTTCTGACGATCATTCTAATCTGAGTGTATCAGGAAGGTGTGCAA